GGGCGGCTCATGTGACCCAGACAGGCGCTCCCCACCCGGCCGTGGGGCAGGGGCGGGGCAGGAGGCGAGGCCGCCGTCGGGGCCTGCCCCTCCACACACACAGCCTCCGGCAGTAGTAGACCGAAAGGGTACGCACCGCCCAGGGGGCCGGGCTCCTGGGTCGCAACCACCAGAACGTGGAGGGCGGGGCTCTGTCCCAAGGCAAGGCCCGGGCAGGGGGCACTGGACCAGAAGGAGGGAGCCGGACATGACCTCTGAAAATCACTTTATTGCAAGTTTTGGGTTGTGGGGAGTCCTAGGAAGGAAGTCTGGAGGGAACACAGCAGGCCCCACCCAGGTGAGCTCCTCAGAAACATGATCCCAGGGTCTTGGGGAGGCCCTGGTGGTGGCGGTTTCTGCAGGCTACTGCTGCTTTTCCCGTTGCTCCTGCTGGAGCCTGGCTCTATTGGCCCTGGGGGAGAGAGCACCTGAGAGGTTACGACCGGGATCCCCAGATGGTGGTGTCAGGACAGGGAGCAGGGGCTAGAAGTGAACAGGGACAGACCTGGCCTGAGCCCTCCTGTCATTGTAGATAGCTGTGATGATCTTATCCTTTTCGTCCATGAAGCTCCGGTGCATCTGTTCCAACTTCCTGCAAGGGAGTTAAAATTAACTCTGGGACTCCAATCCCTGCTGTCCCTCAAGTCCTGTCCCACTCCACCCCACTCTAGGGTCTCACAGCTTTACATTGGTGGGGACCTCATCTCCATCCTGCCTGGGATAAGTGGGGAAAAGGATAAAGAGTGTCCTGACTCGTCCAGGGTCCATTAGCACCCAAGTCCCTGATTGTCCTGCTGAATGTGGTTAACAGTAGCTGTGCACAAGGAGGTACTCCTCCCAGGAAACTAGAAAGGATTGCACATTTAACTCTTATCTCTGAATTAGGCAGCTGCTACTAGTGGGCACTGGCCTTTAGATATCTTTGTTGTAGAAAATCTACTTTGTAGATCAGGTGAGAAAGTGGTGAGGAGACAGCCAACTGCCAAATGAGTGAGGACTATTGCTAGTGAGGCCAGTTACAATGAATTGCTTCTTGTACATGATTTTGGTTGGCTACAGCCCTCCCTGGCAGCCAGCACAAAAGATTTATATTCAAATGATAAAAACTGAAAATGACAGCATCAGCCCTTCAGCCCTTCATGTAATGCTGCCTTTACCAGGTAAGGAGAGGCTTCAGAGACTGGTTTTATGCAGTTCTTCACTTGAGAAACACAAGAGTACAGGCCACAGCATGCGGTGCATGGATAGCTGACCACACTAGGATTTACCCACCCTTCTGCCCCTGGCCCATCACCCCAGGGGGGGCGGGGGGGGGGGGACAGGGATGTACCTGAAGGCGACATAATGCAGGCCCA